TTATGTGTGAAATAGAAGTAACGTCCTTACCGGCGTATCCCACATAAAATATCTCTTTAATCATATGACACCTTCATTGCCCTAATTTTTTTCAAATGTCAGATTGTTGGTAATTACAATCAGTTAAATAACTATCACTAGATTTTGATTGTAATATTTAGAATAAAACATTTTGTTAGTGTGTAGCCATTATGTTTTGGATTTCCTTATAAGACTTATAAAGGACTTCGTTATTCTAAGTTCATTCTTAAGTGGTTATGCTAAATATAGTATTAAGAAGATAAGTAATAACTGAAAAAAAGATACTTGATAATTTCCGTTCATCTCACGGTTTTGTTTTTGTCATTTGTATCAGCTTTCCGGCAGTAACATATATCGAGATGTGTACTTACCGTTATTTGTATTCGCATTACGAACTAGTGGGTATTATTCGAAGATAAGTTTGATATTTATTATTATTTTATCATTGTTATTAGTAGTGTATTGCTCATTATTCCATCTTTTGGTGCATTGTCCTTTCCTTCATTTCCTGTGGAGTCCGTTCATTATGTATAGATTGCTAATTGGTTTTCGTAATCCACTTCTCACTTTAGTTTGATCAATTCGTACATGTTGCAGTGAAAAATCACATTTGTATGGGTGGTTCCTAGTTACAATATTTTAGTCACGTTCAGAGTAATAACCTTATATTGTTGATGCAACCTACAAATTTATGATTATGAGCACGTTTCCCATAAAACTCATGGGTAAACGTAGATTTGATAGCTTTTATGTATATAGATATTTGGGCCTCGTACGTTCAGAATAATTAAAACACCAAATACATAACTATTTACATTTACTTCATTGATTTACCAACATCTGCGTATAGTCTAAGTCCCTAAATGATTGGTAGTTCTTCATTTATGTGTAACAAGTACCTTTTAAGATTCAGTGAAATAAAATCGATTCATTTTATTCACTTAGTATTACTTTTGATCAAGTCGACTTAGACAACTGAATGTACTACTACTTACTTCATACTAAGTATTTGTTTGGTTGTATTCAGAAAATTGAGTCTGTATGTGCACAAAAACCCTGCTATAACATTTATTATTTATCGTTACTAGATAATCGCTTATGAATTCATGTATAATCAACGGTAAATGTGATGTGATTTAATAAATCAAATCATCTAGTGACTGAATTACATTTAGGTTTTAAAAAATCTCAATCGTTCTCAGTCCAAATAACTATTCTGTGTAAGAAACTTAGAAAATTTTGTTTTTGAAGGCATTTTTAAACAGATCAGCGTTAATATTTGTTTTTATTGTGCTAGAAATCGATTACTTGTAGAAGTGTAAAATTATCTGATTTACTCACCTTTTTCTAAATTCCTAATTGTGTCTCATCATTTGCAATTCTACTAATTATGCTTATTATTCACCTTTTTTGTCATATAAGCTATTAGTTAAAACTGTTAGATACATGATTTTGTCTCTAGATTATTTCTACTTCAATTTTATATATAATTTTCGGCTGGAATTTTACATTGTCTGTCCTAGTGTCATCTCTAATTAGCATCTTACTTGTCTGTTTTCCAGCTTTAACTTATTGACTTAAAATAGATACCTTTGGTTATTAGGTCTATGGTATATTAATTACTCACTCAATATAGTTTCAATAGTCTTAATGACCAAAAAGATGATAATCAAATATAAATTTAAATTTTACACCACGTACTAATATTAGTAAACCATTTAGGACTAAGGAACACTGGACAGATGTTTCGTCCTACTATGACACTCAGTGGTGCGCATCCACGGACTCTCACGAAATCGAGCTCAATACCTTCGGTCTCGCTGCTAACAATTAACTTCTGGACCACTAAATAGGCATCCAATTATGTACATATCAAATTTGAATAAAATCCCTGTTTTAAAGACTATTCCCTACTAATTGTAGAACATATTAGCTCAATCATGTTGTTGAAATCCGGAAAGTATAATGATGCAAAAGATCAAAGAGGCTTTTTGAAACAATTTTCCTGTCATTTTTATTTCTTGTGTTAACGTTTACAGTTGAGCAAATGCTTCCTCTAAAACGATTCTTTTCACTTAGAATTATTTTTATCTGAATTTAAAATTTACTCAGTTTTGTTTATGCGATTCACTAACTGTAAAATGTTTTGTATGTAATAATTTAACTATCCGAATGCAGCAATCTCATACTCTAAGAATCCCTAGTATATTAATTACACATGTTTCACACCTAACATTCAATATTTTTGTTGTTAAAGTTGCTACTTAACTCACTTCTAGTAGCATCCCAAGTGTAGATAACAGACTCCTTAATCAATCGTATACATTTTGCTTATTAAATAAACAAGTTCTCTATGATCGCTAACCACATATTCCATTCAGTTTAACAAGTCTCTTGATATCCACAACCTAAGAGCATTATTATTCAACTTTTGACAGTCATGTATTCTGCACAACTTTAGTCTTTTCACCGTGTATGGCTAGCTGATTAGGCGTTAGAAACCTATATAGTTACTAAATCAAATAACGACACATAACAATAGTCTAACATAGATTTTTCACAAATTCGCCTACCTAAAATACAAATACACTTCCAGCTGTTGCGCCATCGAAATTCTCAGTGTATAATCTGTTAACAACCCTCAATAGAGAGAAGCTGATGAAACTTCCTGTTTTTAATTCTTTTTTACTAAAACTTCCACATACTTAATTCGAATCTTCATATCAATAGAACATAATTAATTGATCTGTTAATACAGGCTGTGATGATTTACTTGTATTTTGCAAATCATTTTATTAATTTTAATACTTATTTCGTATACCCATCATAACTTCTTGTTACGTTTTCATCTTTACTTCGATATTTCCTAAGTTTCTGTGAAAATTCTTTTCATTCCCATGAAACATCGAATTTATACTGAAAATTTTCAATTGTAGTCTGAGTTCATCCCATTTTTCTTAAAAGATTTAAAGATAATATGGTTACTTTTAAATGTGCACGTTCCTTTTTGTCGATGTGATTGATGTTTTTTATCCTTTTGATTATTGTCTCATAATAAATGAAAGTTATCATAAAATGATATCTTGGATACGTTCAATTGTATTCCTGTAAAACATTTATCTGAATATTATAAAAATATTGCCGTTCGTGAATTTAGAAGAATGTGTAATTAATACTGAGGAATACATTTGCTTCATAATTCTTCTTTCCGTTCTCCACGCCTTGCATCTTTGTTTTTGCCTGTTTTCTACCTATTTATATTTCGATATTAAATTTGTCTGTCAGTATCGATTTTTCCAGCTTAGAAATTACTACTTTTAATGTGCCAGGGTTTTGCATTGTGTCTATGAAAATATGCATGATCCATTACCAATTCAATAACGATCTATAACCCCACTATCGATATTCCACTAATATTTTTTAAATGAATAAATAAGTGCGTAGTTTTTTCGTGTGTATTTTTTCATTGTTCCGATCAGCTTGCTAAAATGTACAAATCTATTATATTTTGTATTGTAGTTTAATATTGTTGCTTCGCTGCCTTACCTAGTACATACCACGTGCAGTTAATTAATATTCCAATTTATCTGTAGCCGACCAAATACTTTCATTTTCACTTCATGATTGATACACCGGCCATTTGTTTTTTGGCTGTTTTCCTAATGTTACCTTTTGTCCAAAGATTGCCTGGTAGTCTTATATACATTTATATACATGCTTAGCTTTGTTTCAGTTGATGCTTCTAAAGTTTAAGTTACTGATTTGTAAGGTTTATAACACCTAGTCTGTTCTTACGTATCGAACGATATCAATTCAATATCCCTAAGGTTTAACTGTTTTAATTAGTCCTATTATCAATTGAATTTAAATTTTATCCGTAAAAAGTAACCCATCTATTGTAGTGTCCTTTTTTAACAATTGTTATTTATGTCTATAAATTTATTTATTACTAATAGTGAGCCCCATATGTCTCTAGTATTGGGACGCTCTCGTACCATTGAAACAACCTAGTAGAGAATCCGAGGTAAGATGTGAGGTACTTGGTGAGTACGGCGAATCTCTTGAATGTGGCTGTAAGTCTTCACCAACTGAGTTTCTTAGGTGTTAGCGGGATATAGATTAGAATAAGGTACTTTCCGTTCATGACTGTTGAGGCACGCTGATTGGCTACTTCTTGACCAGTCAGCGCCAGTGGATAATCGGAGAAGGTTTGGTATGTTATGTAGAAATTATGAATATACTAACGTCTTTCTTGTTGTGATACTTACTTCCATTCAACCATGTTCATTTGGAATATAATTACGTTCCTGTTCAATTGTGTTCTGATATAGGGAACTTGTCGAGTGAAATAATGTCAATGAATATTCAGTATTAGGAGTATCTGGTACGTAATAAGAGAAATCCTAACACTGGGTCATTCGTTACGTTTACCAAATCATGTCTTACTTCAACGTAAGACCTTGACCGTAGCGTGAGTTTCATATAAGCTAGGGCGCGCCATATTATGACGTAACACAGTCCATAAAGCTTTTGCTGCCTGTGTGAGCTATGTGTTGCCAAGTCCAAACCAATTGGCTCGTATTTACCCGGCAATCTTGGTGAGTGTTGGGAGACAACTATAATTAATCCTTTGTCTCATGTCTCAGTATTGTTCCATACTTTGCGATCCGTGAATTCATTCTTTCTTTTAAAATCATATTTTAATTTATTCCTCTGTATCTATAACGTTGCCAATTTTGGAGTCAATAACTGTTCATATTTTCTTCCTTTCTCTCACTCAAGTAATGTCGTGTGGTTACTTAGGTTCATGCACATGTTCTACATTTTTTAGTTTATATGACTAACAGTTCACGTTTTTTGAAGTGAAGAACCTCACCAATATTAGGAGGCTGTGTACACTGACCTATAGTAGATACACGTGAAATCGTGGTTCGAGATTCCAAGTTGATCTCTCTATTTGTTCTTTTCTCGTTAAACAGGCAAAAAACAGGACATCATTCGGGCAACAGAACAATTATTAGCTGCTGCAGCAGCTGGTGACTTTGAACTCTACCTGTAAGTTTCGTGTATTATGAGATTATGTGATTCACTGTATTCGGTCAATAGGGCTTACCAAAAAGGTTAGGTTTCATTGAATTCATGAATGAATGGTCGTTTTGTCTCAGTATAGGTCTCCCTAACAGTGGCATCCACAATCCCTCGCGCGGGACTTGGATCTAAGACTTTCGTTCTCCCGTGCGAACGCTCAACCTCAATACCACTGAGTCGGGATCCAATGGTGTTAATTCCTAACCTCAACCAATGCAATACTTGCGCGATCATCTTACATTGTCTTTAGTGTGTAACTGCTTCACACCCGGCACGGACTAGCTTCACTGGTGATGGATTCTCACTAGGACTCTGAAAATTCTCTCTCGAAGCTAGTCACTAGTGAGCACATGATAATTTTCATAAATTTTGAATTTCTGTAGCTCCACTTCACATAACTTCATGAAAATACTTGTAAATTAAAAGTCTCTTACTTCACTTGTCATTTTCGTATGGGATTCTTATCAACTGCGTCGGTGTTACAACCAATGTAACACTATTTTTTGACATCTGTCAACTCAACTTCATACTGATTTTGATTACCATAATCTTTTATTTTTGAATGGGTAGAAACAAGATAAGTCATAAAATATCGATTCTAATTTTTGACTCCTGAATTATAAGGCTGTAACATATAGTCGGTTAAAACTTGTAAGAACCACTCAACTGAGACATTTATGCTACAATAATTAGTAACATATACTTATAAATAGTTGCTCTTACCCTTAGAGCCTAGTAATATCAAAACAATTAATGGACCAAATGAATGCTTGGAATTAGTATTGCATAAAGTCATTAGAATGTATTTGTTTAGTAAAAACCTTAAAAATATGTGAAATGACCTATTGTAATAAAACTGATTGTAAAACCAATTATTGTAGATCCTCATTTCTCTGGTTTTAATTTATGGTTGAACAAATTCCTTAATGGAATAACATATTAAAAAATTTTACAGAGATGACGTTTTACTTTATCTCACTAAATTTATTTCTAGGTAACTGGGCTTATATGACATTATTTTCTTTATTTTGTTTTTTCAAATAAAGGACTATAAACATTGTTTGTAAATTACTTTTTTCTTGTCTTTTTGTTTCAGTAAATTTTTGGATTCTCAATTCACTTATTTTGGTCCAGAAGCATGTGGGAATTTACTTGAAGGAGCTGATTTCCATAAGTTTTACTTTGAACAAAGTAAGTTTCGTTAATTACACTATTTGTATGTATTTTGTCATACTTTTATAATTTGATGATGTAGGTTAGTGTGTTTAGTTACTCAACCTTCGCTGAAGTCCCGTGGTTGCTTTCACTTGTCTTCTCATAAATGGTTCAGATGATTATCCTAATTTTTTATCACTTTTAAACATAATTTGAGCAAATATGGATGGTGGCTTGCAGTTAAATCCAAGACTCGTGTTTGGTCATGATTGTATTCCACTGCTAGCCACCATCCCTCTTTGCTCATAATGATTGTAACTTAAGGCAGTATTGAGGCAATCCACACATGATCCGCATACTCCAATAAGAGATTGATCAATTGTAGCCCTAAACATCAATGGGAAGTTTCAAACAAAAGAAAATGAATACATATTTTGTTTTACGGTTCCGTTTGTCAGTAACAAAAGCGATTATTTTGGGGATCAAGCGTATATTTGTAGACATATGAGCTCTACGGATTTTCTTTGTCAGAAATATCAGTTTTTTCGTCTAACGATTTTTAACGTGCAATTTTTTTCCTGTGCTGTAATGGAGCAACCTTGTATACAAAGTAGAAGTTTCACAACGTCAACATAATATTACTTTAAAGTTAGACGTATATGAGAACTGAGATTAAATGCCAGATACATGCATAAAATTCCGAGGGTAACGAACGAATAGGCCAGTAAGATTCCTCGACTCAATTAATTATCTTTATTAGGATTAGGATCAAGAGACCCTTTTGATAACAGTTTTAATGCATTATATTTTATTCTTGAGAACAAAATCCAGCACAAAATGTAATTAAATCAAACTAATCCTAAAACTTTGTTAGTAAAGAAGATTACATATTAGTTTTTTAACTTTATAGTCCCATTATTACTAAGTGCTTATTTTACCACTCATCTTTCTCTTTAGTCATTCCGAAATCAGTTGTTCGTGCTATTCATACCAGTATACTCAACCCGACTGTACATTTAATGGGTGAAGATGCAGCTTGTATTGCCTACACAAGACTTACTCAGTTCCTAGATAAGTGAGTTATCCTTGCGTATTTTTATTAGCTTAAAAACATCGTTAAGCGACATAGTAACCATATTTTACTATTTTCTATAAATAGATGTGGTATGCCTCATACACAACAAACAGAAGAAACCCGTGTTTGGGTAAGACGTAATGATCGTGGCTGGCAGAATGTCCATGTACATCGTTCGTGTTTATCAGCAGGCTCAGGTGGTGGTGGATTCGCAAATATTAGTACAACTGGATCAGCTAGTTTCAACTATCCACTTTAGAATCAAAATAATATTGCTCAGATCATGAGAGATATTGAAACAAGGAAGTATATGTATACATATACTATCAGAAATTTTATGCTTTAATATTGAACCAATTCCGTTTTTCTTTTTGCGTATTTTTTTTCTTTCTTAAAATTTCAACATGCAATTTATCCAATCAATAAAAATCAGGTTTATCTGATTAAAAATATATACCTATCCATTTTTTCGTTTCTTTGCTCATGTTAATATGCACATTAGTTTTGCAGTTCGATTTTATAGTGAAAAATCTGGTTACTTAGTCGGTTAAATGTTCACTTATCTAATGGTTAACTTGTATGTGCAATTAAATTCTTGCTTTATATCCTCGTTGATTTAACTTATTTATTCACTGATATTCTCTGATATTTTTAAGCGTGCGATTAAATAGCTGACATTCCACTTTACTCATTTGTTGTTAGTTTATACTCAAGTAATACGAGATTTCTTTCTGTTAATACTGATCCACCACTTACCCGCAAGACAAAAATATTAAATTGTTTCTATGTAAAGAATTGTGATTGGTATACCACTTTATTACGTTTATTGTTACAAATGTTAATGATTGTTGGAATTTGTGCACGAACGATTACTTGTATAATACATCACTGAACTTATGAATACTTGTATTATCAGGCTATAACATCTACTTACCTGTCAAACAGGGAAAACGCAATGTGTATGCTACTTTTAGTGCGCATTTTGCAACTTTTTATGATCTATGTTCATTCTCCTCTCACTTTTTGCTCCTCTTAGTATCTCAGTTCACTTGATATTTAATTCATTTTGATTTCCTTAGTATTCTTCCTGGACTGTGTCATGATTTTTTGTTCACGGCTTGTTTTAAAAAGAATAAAGTCCATGCAAAAAATCTTCAGTTTACATAGTCCACACTTTTACCATTATTCGTTATCGACTGTGATGCTTTTCTTGTGTTCTGTATTTTTGTTTATCTTCGTGTTTAAATCTCTATGTTTATGTTCAATTAACTGATGAATAGTACGAACTGATTGTAATTTCGTAAATGTTATTCGTACATTTGATTCCTTCCACTTCAAACTACTTATTTTTTGTTTCTACATTGTCTGTTTTATTATGCTTTTCTTTCATTATTGCTACATACTATGCTTTCCAAATAAGCATGCATGTCTTTCACTGCTTCGTACTTATTAAATTCAATAATATTTATCATTATCGTTGTTTCGTCCTGGTAACATTCTAAACTTCTCCGTACGATTGTTTGTCAAGCCTAATTTATTTTATCATCGTTGTGGTCTATGGGCAAATAATTTATTTCGAATTATTATATCTTGTTCCTGTTATTTGTCTTTTAGATTCTTAAACTTTTGTATTTGTACCTGTCATAATGAATATCCTATAATCTTCCCCATAAAATTAATCAACTACTTATATTTATTTCAATTGAAATTATGATATTTAGAATTTCTGCATCTGTCTTACTTTCTTGGTTTACATAGATTCGAATGTACATGAGTTGCGTTCATAAACATTTTTCCACCAAAATAAATTGAGCATATAAGTGTTAAGCGTTCAACAAAAGAGACAGTACTCGTGATATTATTTTAACTTTCCTAGTCAATTTGTCAACATCTTTCGTTTGAGGTAACAAACCTTTTTCATTTATTTATTTCTGTTCTTATATCAGTTTTTTACTGTATGCTTCCATTGAACCTAAAAAAATTCAATACACTTGTTTTTTGACCTTTATATATTTTTCTTTATTCTAAGAATATATTATTTTATTCTAAAAACAGTTGCACATTTACTGTGTTACTACAAAGGAAAACATCATTTCCCCTAATTATACGTATGTATTTGTGTTTATAATAAATTTATGTGTAACAAAGAATCGGCCAGTAAGCTAATTCCAATGCTTTATATTGTTCGACGACCACTACAGTGGTGTCTTATTCATTGAATATAATCTTCTGTTTTATAGGCGCCTATTTGTAACCGAGTCTGTTTTCCCCTAATGTTCCTCTCTAGCTAAATTTTGGTTTGCTCTTTAAGCCGATAAAAATAGTGATTTCAGTGTGAAGTTTTCTCTCGGTGATGCTATGTGTACCTGTTACATTTGTTTGTCTGCTTTTCTTATTATTTACTTGTTCCGTTGTTGTTATTTTGTTTCCTACAAAAAAGGTCAAAACAGGTTCACTAACGGATCTTTTATGTTTCTTGTATTTTCTGTTGTTAAGTATTATTTGATTAGGAAGATTAACCATGACTGAAAATATTATATTTTAAAAATTTACCTGCAACAATTTATCTGTAACCTCGTATTTGTTTGGTTGTTTTCTCGTTATTTATTATTGTTTATTCCTCAACTTGTTTATCTCATTCATTTTGCTCACACACACCTGCCCAGCTTACATGTCGACTAGCTGGTGGAAAAACCAGAAATACAAGGTTACTCTTAATATGGCGTTTATTTTCAATGGGGAACTAATTGGAATACTTGGCCGTTACTACTGTCTATTTCTGTCCAAATCATTCATCACGAATGCTCGGACTGAGTTTGTCAGTAAGTTAGCTTATTCAGTATTATTAGGCTAATCTCAGTGTAATAATTCAAGGTCTCGGGTTTAAATTGCTTACTCTGTTAGGGATTATTTATTCATACAATAGCTCTTATTATCCATCCACCATACTTTTCCCCATACAGTAGTAATATGTACGAAATTCCATTTTAAACCTGATGCATTTCCGAAATGTATAGTTTTATCTAGAAAACATATTCACACACAAAACTGCCCCGTTACTATAACATTCATAATTAATTTCCAGATCGACCAATTAAGAACCCCAAACTGACGTCGTATTACTTGGTCGAACAATCTCTTCAAAGTCAAGTAAATTCTTATCTTCACTTGTTTGTTAGGGTGCTCCAGAAACGTTTATTCGTAAATCAATTAATGGTAACAGTTTCTTACAAAATTTATCCGTCTTTTCTCTTGTTACTAACCCGTAACAGGATTTTCGAGCTCTGAAGCCATACAGTTAAATATGTCTTCTTTATACAAAACTGATGTTAGAATCAAAGTTTATTTTTTACTCACTCAATAGGGGATTTTCCTTATCTTATAAATACTGATTTAGATATAAAATTAATTGTGAAGTTTATTTTATCATATAATCGATGATAAGTCGCGATATAACATGATTTATTCATCTATTTGATTATCCGTATTCTATGGCAGTCAATTAAGAGTACATAAAAGCTTAAATATGTTTTCAAATAGTAATTATCCCTCAGAAAAAAATTAAACCAGTCTTGTGTCTACTCTGTTAAGTTCCCTGTAGAAAACACTGCAGTTTGATTGTCCTATAGAGTTATGGTGTCATAAGTTTGATTGCTTCATTCTGCTAATGATCACATCTCAATGTAGCCACAGCATTGATAGCTTAGCTAGCTCATGATAGATGTTTGTATTGATCCAATTTGTTTAGATCCTTAACCAATGTGTCAAGAAGTGCCTCTAAATAATATTATCACCCAAATTACGAACTATTATAATATTGAACGTGTCTAAACTTACATCTTTTGTAAGAGATAAATAAGACTATTTTCAAAGTGTTGAACTTTATTAGGATGGCATTAAAAGTGGTCTCATCATTTTTAAGTTTAATTTACATCTCTCGTCAAATCCATCTTATTATTCTGATAGTATATTATGCTAATATTAGCACCGCTCATCCACATTCGTTGCATTTCAGTACTTATTCAAAATTCGGAATATCAGTCAAATTATAAATAATGGTCTTAAGGTATATTTTATCACAAATATAAAATATCGTTTATTCTGATTCTGACACATTGAGGAAAAATCAAGTTGTTTACCAGCATTGATTACTAAATGTTTCGAATAAAACTGCTATACTTTCGATCTACGCTCCGACCAATGCTAAACGATAGTGAAGACTACAGATTTTCTCATTATTTGTTTGCATACAACAAGTAGTCTGAATATGAAAATATAATCGTTTTTCTGAAATAAATATGAATCCCACTGAATGATTGACTTTCTGCATGGCTGTCTACACGTAATTAACGTATGGAAAGAACAGCGTCCATTGCGAAAAATTTGGTTGGGTGACCCATTACATAACCTAGGTTTTCTTATCGGAATGTTGAAGTGGATTTTTATTCCTAGTTACCTCACACTAAATATATTTTAGTATAAATTTATTTTTACTGTTCCGTGAATGTAAGTCTTTCATGTAATTGTGGAGCAGCTTGTATTTAAATTCACCCAAATGAAATTTTTATAAAATTAATTTGTATTTAACAGATTTCATCTAAAATTCCAGAAAATAGGTCAGATTTGTGTATATCTTGTCAGGTGGAAAATTTATTATATTGCACGATACATGGTGGCAAGAACATCCGACGAAATAAATATATAAGAAATCATAAACAGACTAGTACCACTAATAAAAAAACCTATTAACCATCTGGTGCGCGACATTTGATCCCGATTAAACTAGTTTCATATGAAGAAAAAACGTTTGCTAATGTTAGACGATACGATTGGCGGCCTGTATTTATTTCACTAACATTATCAGTTTCAGTTTATTTGTTGTAAAACTGGCACAAGATATAAATTTGTAGTAATCATGGTTTATATTCCGTCGAATTAGGTTTGTTGAGAATGAAACAAATGCGTAGTAAGCAAAAATGAAAACTGACGATTAGTGGAATCCAGGCCGCGTGTTCCGTCCTATTTGGGACTCGTTAGCTGGGTGTACCTGCATCTCGGAACTGACGTTCACTCTGGGACCCGAACCCAGTACTATTCGCTTCAAACGCCATCGTATTAACCACTTGGTTGTGCGATGGGACGATCCAAGTAAACAATACCGAGTGAATTTAAATTTCACCCCATTGCAGAAGCAAGTGGCTGTCAGGACTCAGTAGCTAAGTGGATAACGCAATGATGTTTGAAGCGAACGTTACTGGATTCGAGTACTAGAGTGAACATCATCTCTGAGATGCAATTCATCCAGCTGACGAGTCCCAAATAGGACGAAACGCCCGTCCTGTATTCCACTGCCAGGCACTATCCATCTTTGCTTAGAATGCTTGTGAATTAAGGCAGTATCGAGTCAATACGCACATATGCCAATAATAGACTGGTCAATTGCATTTCTAAGCATCAATGGGAAGATTCAAGCAAAGAATATCAAGTTAATTTAGGTCATAAGATTGATCTTAACTCGGCTTTTATGGTGTTGTACAAAAGTGTAAAAGGGCATAAACTAAGTTTTATTGAAGCCTTAGCCGTACGAAAATCCAAACCCCCTTTTTGTATTAAAAAACATTTTGTTCTCACCTTAAACTTACCCAGGTAATATTAGCTTGTTATCCAGAGTGATGAGATTTCAAATTGTTTTCACATTATTTTCTTTGTTGCCCGTGTCTCCTCTTACCCTCCATTTCTAGTCTAGTTGACCTTTTATTTTTATATATGAATGTTCTTAACAAATATATATGTTATCAGAAGGGATTGTGTGGAGATTTTAGAAATTTCACTGGTTTAAATCATGAATCCATTGAATCTAGACCACCATGGAAAACCTGGAAGCACTGGACGGCCGTTTCGTCCTAGTATGGGACAATGGTGTACGGTGGCGCAACTTCGTGGATTGGTTGAAGTTAAACATCAACACCGTTGGATGCCGGCTCAGTGGTCTAGTTGGTTAAGCGCCTGGCGCGAGACTGATAGGTCCTGGGTTCGAATCTCGCGAGGAGCGGGATCGTGGATGCGCACTGCTGAGGCGTCCCATACTAGGACGAAACGGCCGTCCAGTGCTTCCAGGTTTTCCATGGTGGTCTAGCTTCAATGGATTCATGATTTAAACCAGTGAAACTTCTAAAATCTCCACACAATCCCTTCTGATAATAATCATCTGCTAACTAGTGACTGACTTCAAGATATACTCCTGAAGTTCTAGTGAGAAGCCGTTACCAGTGGAGTCCAACCAGGTCTGTTGTGAGATATCAGCTCACTGAAGACAATGGTGTACGGTGGCGCAACTTCGTGGATTGGTTGAAGTTAGACATTAACACCGTTGGATGCCGGCTTAGTGGTCTAGTTGGTTAAGCGCCTGGCGCGAGACTGATAGGTCCTGGGTTCGAATCTCGCGAGGAGCGGGATCGTGGATGCGCACTGCTGAGGCGTCCCATACTAGGACGAAACGGCCGTCCAGTGCTTCCAGGTTTTCCATGGTGGTCTAGCTTCAATGGATTCATGATTTCAACCAGTGAAATTTCTAAAATCTCCACCAAAACCCTTCTGATAATAATCATCTGCTCACTAGTGACTGACTTCAAGAGACACTCCTGGAATTCTAGTGAGAAGCCGTGACCAGTGGAGTTCAATCAGGTCTGTTTTGAGATATCAGCTCACTGAAGACAATGGTGTATGCTGGCGCAATTTCGTGGATTGGTTGAAGTTAGGCGTTAACACCGTTGGATGCGGGCTCAGTGGTCTAATGAATAAGTGCTCGCGCACGAAACCGGTAGGTCCTGGCTTCGAATCTCGCGAGGCGGAATCGTCGATATGCACTGCTGAGGAGTGCCATACTAGAACGAAACGGCCGTCCAGTGCTTCCAGGATTCAATGGTAGTCTAGCTTCAACTAGTGAAATTTACGTAATATTATGAATTCTAATCTCCCAATCTGTTTACTAGTAATTATTTCAGTTTGAGCAACATACATGCTATTACGTGCTTGTCAAGTGAGTTTCATTATTAATTTAATTACAAAATTATTACAAGAGGTTTCTTGTTGGTTCACTATGTGAGAAATTAGTATCTTGCATATATCACTGGCAATCAGAGTATTTTATGAATAAACACGTTTTATCATTTATGCATCGTACTTATTCGAAAATGAAACATTACAACAAAACAATTTTAAAAAACAGTCCTACGTATAATTCACCTCAGGAAACAAACGGTTACCAGGGTTTGATTTTTGACATGTTTTCCTTCTTAAATCAATAAAAATGAATGCATAATATTCATAGGTATTTTTGGTCTTGAACGATAGCTATGAGTAGGTGTGATTGTAACATTTCTTTACAGTAGTATACTTACCCAACCTGCATAATTATCACAAGGCTCTATGAACATTCACATCAAGATGAGATAAAATGTTATAATTCGCAGAAGCATGGACACAAAGTAAGTTTACAAAACCTTATACTGCAAAACATTTGAATAATTACTCATGAAATAATGGGAGATAGCATATTTCTCTTTGTCTTTGTGTAACAAACTCAAGTGGAATGTAAGATGAATCCATAAAAATTTACTCTATTGTTATAACATCGGTTTTCCTTGTCTACACTAATGGGGAGTTAATTTATCTAAGAAGATGCTACGTTGCATAATATATGAAAAGAGAAGGAAT